GGTCTCCTTGAGAGAAGAATTCTTTGTAAATCAGCTCCTGCAGAAACACAAAGACAAAATGAGACACATTTTGTGCTTCAACTCCTTTGGACTAAGTAACTATTTCAGAATAAGTTTGTGCTGTTGACTATCTTCTAACACTGGAAGACAAAAAGGTGTGAAATTCAGTTCTACATTTAATCAGGTTAGTGCTTCAATAGGTGGATTTTTGGTTCAGTGATTTTTACAATCATTCATCTTTAGCACAGCTCCTGAGGAGAACTATGCATACTGAAGGCACAACAAATCAGATAATAAGTAGTAACTTTGTCCTCTGGATAAAATTGAAATGTGTTTTGGGAACAGGGATTACGCTCTTTTGTGTGCTAGGTGTTTGGAGATTAATAGTAGGATTCAGGGCAAGGTTTAGGAGTTTTGGTTCAGAAAAGGGGGCAGGCTAAGATTAAAAATAATCCCTGAAATTGAGCGTGGTCTTACAATAGAGACTATAATAGAGTTCAAAGGTTGTTTACAGCTGCAAGGCTTTACTTCTGTTAATCAGTTTTAGTTCATTGCTCACTTATCTAAATGAACACAGAAATAAAAGCAATAACTGTAGCAACAAACTATTTCTACTATATATATATGTATATATGTATATATATATATATGTATATATGTATATATATATATATATATATATATATATATATATGTATATATATATATATGTATATATACGTATACATATAAATGTTACTGATCTGTAACACTGACAGCGATCTTGCGTGTGGTTTTCCAGTCCTTAGTTTGGTCAGACAGATCACATGAAGTCATCAACAGGCACAGCAGTAGGGAGTGGTGGGTTCGACTTTTTGTGTTGTATCCATCTGAAACACACAACACACACACAATTCTGTTTAAACATAAGAAATTTGGAAGATTATGACACAATGCTTCTGGCATCCCACATGGATCAGTGTTGGGTCCCAAACGGTTTATCTTGTGTATCAAAAACTCATAAAGAGTGTTCAGACTTGTTCTTGTTTCAGATAATACAGATATTTTTTGGCATGATAATTTGTACAATTTAAAATTTGAATAAAACTTAAACAAGGGTATTTGGAAATAGCCGATTAAAGCCAAATGTTATGACTTAAAGAAATACACAAGAGAGTTGATTGGAAAGCAAATGTTAAATTATTGTACTGCATGTAAGCTACTGGGCAGAAATACTGCACAATAACTACAAAAGAACAATAGTTAAAATATTGAAATACCAGCACATATTCAATATATGTATTCTGTAAAAGAAAATATGTTTTAATTTACGTCTTTTGTGACCGCTAATGCATGAATGTAGATAAGAACAAGTTTGAGTGTTTCTGTGTGTGTGAATAAAAGTTGAATTTAACAGAATTATAATGTTCTTATGACACATAAATTGTGAAAGGTTTGTGGTGAAAAGAAGCTGCTGACTCATTTAGAGGTTTTTTATGTTCTTGAATAGCTTTTGCAGCTTAAGACCACATCACTGCAGAGGCATCCACTCAGGATAACTTATAATTAGCTGCATTCAGGTGTAACAAACCTCCATCCGAAAGGTCACACCAAATTATAACATACGAGAGTACAAGCAACTGGAAAATATTGTTGAAAATTAGTTATAGTACAAATATTGAAACTGTCCTTTATGTAGAGGAATGCATCTCCATTATTTAGCTAATAAATGAGAATAAATGGAAACGTGTTCAAGTTATTCTACACAAAATATAATAACATTCTCTGTGAAAAACAATATTTTTGAAATATTCTTGTAACTTTGTAAAATTCTAATTTGAGGGGAATTTAAAACAGTTGAAACATCTTCTAAGCTTAGCTCTCAGATATTGATCAGCATGTGGGAAAAAACACACACAAACTGATTAATGGAGACTTACTATCAGCCATCTTCTGCAAATCCTTAAAAATACGAAGGTGGTGAGCAAGATCTGTCGCCAGAATGATGTCTCTCATCAGATCCAACATTCGCTGGTAGTCCTGAAAACATACAAAACATATTTCAGAGTGGCACAAACCAGAACAGAAGACTGTAGAGTTTAAACAAAAGTGACATTTTGTTTTTCCACCTTTCTGGAGAATTTCTCGAAGATGTTGCAGCCTTGAGTATTCAGAATAGCGATTGCTTGGGCAAAGTGGTGTCTCTGTTGTAGTACATAACAATAGAAATTGTGTAAAATGTTAATTTGACCTCTAAAAAAAGGCTCAACCGTGCCAAAAGCAAAACTGAGAGACATTCAGTTTCTATTTAACTGCTTAACAAAGATTTATTGCTGATTTTGTCCACTAGATGTCCCCATAGAACACAACATTAGATGTAGTTTATTACCGTAAACATGCAAAACTAAGACCAACACAACAAATTAATGATTTATACAACCATGGGCCAAAGGTTAAAGATTACCTCCATCACAGATCCCTCTGAGCTGTAGAGAGCAGCCAGGACTGATTGCTAAAGATCAAACAGAATAATTTTTGATTATTCTCTCAATTAAATCACATTATTCAGCTGAATGTTGAAGAGTTTTCTCTTGAGAAACTTTTATCAGCTGTACTTATAAAGCATAAAAAGCCACCAATAAAAGTATCTAGGGTTGGCCTCTGATTCAAAATGTAGGGGGTAGAGCCCTGCACTGAAGCCCTAGGCCCTCGGGTCGGCTCGGCCCGAGAGCTTCGGGCCAACAACTGTGTAATTACCTCGGACACGGGCCGGGCGCCTTTATTTTTAATCGAATTCATAAAAAAAAAATTGAAACACCTAAACCAGGGGTCGGCAACCTGGTCCCATCAAAGAGCCATTATTACCCATTTCCCACAGTAAAGAAAACACTGGGAGCCACAGCAGCCGCGGCGTTGTGGGCAGGGCCTACCCTCAGACAGCAGAGAGCTGCTCACAACAGGTGACAGCAGCCAGTACCGGTCGCTCGTGTACGTCAAAGTTATCTTTCATAAGACGATAATCAATAAAACGATTTATATAAAGTGGATCCAGAAGTTGTAGCCCGTCTCTGCCTACAATATTTTAATATTTTTAACCCTGTTGGTGGTTTTACTGAGCAGGTGCCACTTTTGTCATATGTTTCTTTTAAAACATGTTTAGACTGTTCAGAATACAAATCCAGGCTCTGTCACGTTTGATTGTTGTAATTAAACTTTGTAGGTGGGGAAGGTCAGAAAAGGATCCGATCAATTTGTTTTTCCCTCATTTACAGTGACGGAGATAACGGCGCAGTGCGCCTGGCTCTGGTGTTAATCAAGTTTAATTTGTAACAATTTTCACAAGAAAACAGAACAGTTAAAAGCAGGGCTTGTGTTGACCGGACAGTTCCCGTATTTGACCGTTTATTTTGACGGAGAAAGAATAGAAAGAATTACCCCAACGCATGCAGACGAACTGACATTTTATTCTATGCAAATCGCAGATGTAACTAAATCGCTGAAGAAAAGATTCCCATCTGAACATCTGAGCTGGACACTGCTCAGTGCAGCTCACTGTCAGCGCATATGTGCACAGCGAGCTGAAGATGTGGAGAGGGGCTTGGAGCGCGTTGCAGAACCAGAGCACATGCAGGAAGATTCCTCCGACTGAATTCAGTCGGAGGAATCTTCCCGCTGATCTGAATGTGATGCGGCTCTCTGTGCTTGTAAAATAAGGAATGGATATTTAAATAAAATGCTTTATATTTTACTGAATTAATTTTATATCTGTAAGTCAATTCTATGTCAAGATTGTCTGCGTAAACCTGAACAGGTCCAACCCGGTCTTACTGTGAGACCGGGTTGACGCGTCACGCTTGTGCGTAATCATATGCGTGTTCTGAGCTGACGAGATTCTGGGATTCTCCTCAGACGGCTCATGGATGTGTCGCCACATTGGAGACAGGAACAAGCACTATTCAGCCAAAGTTTCATAATCAGGGAACATTTTCTAAGTGACAAGTCTCTCTGAGAGACTGGGTTTGGAAAACACTCGCTTCAGTGGGAGGAACCTTCCCGCATGCGCTCTGGTTCTGCAACGCTCTCCAAGCCAATCTCCACAACTTCAGCTCGCTGTGCACATATGCGCTGACAGCGAGCTGCGCTGAGCAGTGTCCAGCTCAGATGTTCAGATGGGAATCTTTTCTTGGGTGATTTAGCTACTTCTGCAATGTGCGTAGAATAAAATGTCAGTTCGTCTGCATGCGTCAGGGTAATTCTTTCTATTCTTTCTCCTTCAAAATAAACGGTCAAATACGGGAACTATCCGGTCAACACAAGCCCTGCTTTTGACTGTTCTGTTTTCTTGTGAAAATTGTTGGAAAGAGATAAAATTTAACTTGATTACCATCAGAGCCAGTGCGCCGTCATCTCCGTGACGGAAAACGAGGGAAAAACAAATTGATCGGATCCTGCACGTCTCTTAACACATTGGTCAGGATTGACGCACTTTGTTTTCATTTAGTTGGTTAAAAAAAAGTCGGGCTCGGGCTCGGGTTGGGCCAGCGAATCCTGAAAACCCTTTTGGACCGGGTCGGCCGGGCCGGACATGGGCTCAGATTTTAGGCCCGTGCAGGGCTCGGGATATTGTGGAGGGTTTATATGAACAAGAGGCTGCTGATCTCTGCAAATCTGCATGATTTAGAGGATTAATATCAATATTTACTGCCTCATTTTTGCTGTTTCAACACCTGAGATGTTTGTCTTTTCTTCTGTCAAAAGGTGAAGACAAAATATCTCACAGAATACCTCCTTTGTTTTCACGGAATGGGTGCAGCTTAAAATATACACAGCAGCCAACCATTAGGGGTTGTACATTACAAAAAGCACCATTGTTGGGTGCAGCTTTGAAAAAGCAAATGGCTGTGTCCAAAAATGGGATCTTATGGCCTCACTATTAAACAACAAAACTTGACAGTGATGCAACACCTATTTTTATTCACGCTGATTGTTCTAATAAACAAGTGCTCTGTGTTTGACAAAAATCTTTTAAAAGCTCTTACCGAGGCCACTTGGAAAGAATTGTTGGTGCCACGATGGTCTAGGTCGTGGCACATACAGGAAACAAATAGAGCTAAAATCTCTATATCCCTACAAAAGAGTGGGAAAGTGGAACAATTGTGACATCAGCAACGCAAGAAAACCTTTTTATGAAGTGTTTTGAGTTGATGGAAACTTACTCGAGGTAGTTGGAGAGCCCTAGATTCTTGTAGAGCAGGTAGCAGAAATGTGAGACAGAGAAGGCGTGCATCCAGTTGTGGTAGGGAGGGTCTCTGTAGCCTTTCTTCACCATTAAACAGAACCTGTCACCACAGCAGCAGCTTAATTATGGCCTCATCATGTTGCCTGTGACTCATGCACATGTACTAGAAAAGTACCATGTCATTTCCCAACACTTTTTTCCTGAAATCTCATTTTGAACATTATGACCTGCTCTGCTTTTGTGCAGAAAGCGCATTAATGAAACAGTTGAAATGCTGATTTCATACCAGCAATTCCGCATCAGAAAAACAGAGTTCTGACATTAAAATCTACCATGTATTTCAACAGTTATACACTTCAGTGAGCAAAATCTCATCAGTTTTGCTTGTTGTCATCTGCCTCCATCTCTCTTTTTGCAGTCTTGTGGTTTCCAGTCTTTAAAATGACTGACAGAGTTTATTGGAGGAGGAAAATCTGCATAATGCAGCCTAAAAGCACTTAAAGCCCATTTCCAACATGCTGCAAAGGCCGGAACACATCCACGCTGAAGGACATGCAGCAAAATAGCTGCCCCTATTATTATCAATCAACCCCCAACACACACAACAATTTGTGGCTCGAAGCCCAGCGGTGACTCTCGACTCTGTGCTTTGTACAAGTGCTCATCCAAAAAAGTAAATATCTACCCACTTCCTGCCTGGACCTTCTGGCTTCCTTTGCAGCTGCTATATTATGTTATACAGCAGAAGTATTTTTGAAGAGGGTGTGAAATGATTTATTGTTAAGATTGAGAAAAAAATGCTAGTTTAGTAGAAGTATTAAAGCAGCAATCCATAGTTTTTTTCAGGAATTATGTAGGAGTTTTTGTAACAAATCCGTAAACATGATAGTCTGAACCTGTGCTGGGATTTTAGGTAGGCCAAAGTTCAATCTATGTTTTTGCTAAGCCCCCGTGTTCCATAGAGCCCCATGCAATTTTATTTGATCGCCACTCAGCATCAGCCAATAGCGTTAGCTCGCTAACCGCCAGATGAGTAACAACCGTAAATGTGCTTGTTTTGCAGATGTGCATGCGGCAAAGACATGGTAAATCACGAAGCAGCTACAACTGCCTTCACAGCGACAGAAATACAGATTCAATGACTCCCTGCTTCTATTTAAAGACAAAGGTAAAGAAAAGCCCGTGGACTTGAAACTGCTTTTCAACGGTGGAAAGATTTCTGTTTTCAACTCAAATGTCAAAAAGCTGAAGAGCATGTGACATTTCTTATGGACAAGTAACTCTTTAAAACACACACAAACACACACACACACACACACACACACACACACACACACACACACACACACACACACACACACACACACACACACGCACGCACGCACGCACGCACGCACGCACGCACGCACGCACGCACACACACACACATTCTTCCCTGGAAGAATGAAAAAATGAATGCAAGTCAATGGGGATAAAAAAGCAATTTTCTAATTCCGTTTGACGTGCCATGGATTCCTATACAGTGGTCTCTAGTAGGGAGGAATTGAATCACGTAGAATTGCCTCTGTGTATGAAATGTGCTATATAAATAAAGCTGCCTTGCCTTGCCTTACAGGCTGTACTCTGGGCACAAAAGAAAAAACCCTGGCCCAGCAAGACTGATGGTGCGTTCGATTTACCTCGGAAGTCGGAACTGTGAGTGGCTCACACCCAAATTTGAGTCAGGATTCCAATATGGCGATGCCCACTTCCCAAGTAGCCATTGTTTGCAGATTCCTTTTAATAACATAGTTTTAAGCTGTTTGTTCAACATGTAAACAAAACTCTTAGTATGTTCAACTTAGAATTTCAAGCACTACATGTAACATTGATATTACATGAAATCCTTATCTTGGAAGTTTAATCGTTCTTTGTCACCTGAAATCAGAGTGTGGGTTAAAGTCAGAGCTCTGTAAAATCCTAGACTCTCTCTTTTCTTCTGGTGACAACAGCTGGTAACATCCTGAGTAAATGACAAGGCAGAGGTTCTGTCTGAACCCAAAACCTTACAGTGTGTTTAGTAAAAAAAAAAAAAAAAAAAAAATACAACAGGTTTCACCCAAAAGTTGCTGTTGTTTAAACGGAGAGCTGCCATTTGGGATGTCGAGGTTGGAGCTCTGTAACTCTTCCGATTGAGAGGTTCGACCTTGGGGGGTGTTTCATTTTATTTTTCCTACTCGGAAGTCAGGATTTCCGAGTTCCGAGGACAAACCGCAAGCCTGCGACATCAGAGCTCTGCTTCAAATGGGAGGATTTGGAGTCTTATTTCCTGACATTTAAACATCTTGCCCCAGATTAGATAAAAGCAACGCGACTCTACTACTGACTGTTTGCTCAGGGACAAGGATGTTTTATCTCCACCAGTAACAAACCTGGAGGAGCTTCTGCCCTGTGAGTGAGTTGCTAATGCTACAAGTTAGCTTCTGTTTGCCGAGACGTTTTCTGCTGATTCTGGACGCTAAAACAGCAACGGCTTTCCCTGTCGTGAGTCAATATGGGTAAGTCCAAATCACAGTGGGATGTAGATCTGCCAGGCTTTTCAAATCCTAGATTTTCACCATCTATTTCGTCTATCAGAAGCTAATGCAGGAGATAGGTGTAGGAGATTATTTTCATGTTCAGCATGCATGAAAAACTCAGTAACTGATTATAATCAGAAATAATCATTAAAAAAGGGGGTTTCAGTCATCCACATCTTTAAAAAAGGAGAACTTGTTTACAAACATTTAAAATGCTAGAGGTAAACTTCTAAGCTGCATAAAGTTTTTCAGCCTGCAGACAGGCCCTCATCATGAGAGGAGTTTGGTGGCAGAGTCAAACCTGGCGAGAGTCTGCAGGTCGATCTTGTATGTGTTGATGAATCCCATGTCCTCAAACATGCTGAGTACACACTAAAAAGACACATCATAGATGGGTTTAAGGATTTTTAAACTGTTATATCTTCAGCTAACATCCACCAGTTCTCCTCACCAGAGGAGTGGTGTCATCAGGAAGGGAGCGTGGAGTGTACGTGAACTCAGCGTAGCACGGGTGAATCTCCTTCACCGGTTCGATGCCTGTCACCAGCAACTTAGACACCTCTTCCTCCGAAACCTGCAGCAGATACATGCAGAGGTTTATGAAGTACAGACAGCTGAGATTAACAATCAGAGTCGGGAAGAGTTACCTTCATGTGGTACATCATCATCTCGTTGGCCAGGTGGGACCTGAACTGAGCCTCGTCCACTCTCTTGTAAAGCAGAGACTGGGGGGGAACAAGGGGAAGCTCTGCTGTTTTATGTGTTCAGGTACTCATAATTATGCAGTGCTGCTTTCTGTGATCCTGATATCCAAGATGGCCTAGTGCGGTGTGATAAAACTATTCTAAATGCTTAATGAGCCTGCTTGAAGGTAATTGTTTTATATTTGTATTTTTATGGATACAGTATTAAATACCTGAAAGGTCAGACTCCAGTGCTGATTAATAAAAGAGAAACAAAAATCTGATAATATCTCAGATGTGACTCTAATCCCACACTGTTTCTCTTCTCTCCTTTATTCATCTCTTTTCATTCTCAGTAATTTTATTCTTGTCAGCTGTCTGATTTCCTGCTCTTTAAATGATCTCTGTCTTCCTCAACTCTTCCCTTCTTTATGTCCTCTCATCCCATCACCCTCACCAAACCCTGTTTTCACTTCCATCCATCATCCTCCCCCCTTTCTTCAGCCATCTTCTTTCCTTTATTCTCTCCTCCAGTTTTGTCTTTTATTCTTCAGTTTTGTGTGAACTCCTGTTCATTCTTGTCTAACTAGCTCATTTTGATGCTGATGTTGCTTTTGGGCTCCCTTGTTTTCTTTTTTAATTTTATCCTTTTTGATCTTTTAAGATTATTATTATTATTTATTATCTGTTTTTTTAAACACATTGTCATTTTTATCTCGAAGTCCTCCTCTTCCTCCTCTCAGGTAATCCACATGTTCCTGCCCTTCTGTCTCTCACTTTTATTGCTTTTTTAATTTTACTTCTTCCTCTCGTTCCAGCCACCCTTTCCTCTCTAGTTTTCATTTCTTCTGTCCTTCCATCCTACTTAGACCTCCTAAAACCCACATATCTTATAATTATCTAGCTATTTCAGATTAGAAGTACCTAATAAACATCATAACCTTTTCTGATTCAAAGTAAATAAAACAATGTTAACAAATTTAATATAGGAAATAATTATAAAACACGTAACAAATATAATAAAAACAAGTCTAAGTTGAAGTGAATACATTATATTTTTAGGATATCAGAAATCATTTCTTTCTCCCTTCTTCGTAATTTTTCTCTTTACTTCCTTTCTTCCCCCCATTATTTCAATTTCCTTCCTTCGTTTTCTCCTAAAGTTGTCCCCCATCCTCCCTTCCCTCCTCCCACCAGTCTTCACAATCCAGCCATGTTCCATTAAGGGAACACATGTTTATGGAGCGAGAGGAGAGAACCTAATCTCAGACTCCTGTAAACACAATGAAATCTGTGTTAGAAATAAACAGCTTTGTGGGGGATGACAAAGCAGCACAACACGATCCAGTCTCTCATTTTTTGATCATCATTATAGGTACAATCATCATCATCATAATCGTCTTTGTGAACCACACACCAGCCGCCAGCTGAATGTGTGTTAATGGGTTTGCAGCTGTCGTATAATGCCTTTCAGACTGCACTGCACAAGCCCGTCACATCCATTAGACTGAATCTCCTCAAATTTCCCATGAGACTTTGCTCCACTCTGCTTTGACTGAGCATTTTGCGTTCTTTGAACAGATCTCATTTTGTCAGACAGGCTCAATCTTTTCTGACTGCATTAGGAGCGGCTCCACCGCAGTAGAGTGAGTGACTTCTGAGAGAGGTTGAAGACTTGTCTCTTTCATGCGTCAGGGTCCAAACGCGTTAAACACCAGGTCTGGATCAACTTATTCTAGTCCTTAGAAGTTTATTTTCTTGACCGAGTCCATCCATCTCCACCCGTTTACTTGTTGTCAAGTCACGGGGGCAGCAGCCTAAGCAGGGAGGCCCAAACTTCCCTCTCCCTAGTCACTTGGGCCAGCTCCTCCAGGGAATACCAAGTCGTTCCCTTGCCAGCCGAGAGACATAGTCCCGCCAGCGTGTCCTGGGTCTTTCTTTGGGTCTTCTCTCGGTTGGACGTGCCTGAAAAACCTCACTAGGGAGGCGTCCAGGAGGCATCCTAACTAGATGCCTGAGCCACCTCAACTGGCTCCTCAGCCCAGCCATCCTGCAGAGAAAACTCATTTTGGCTGCTACTATCCGCAATCTCATTCTTTTGGTCACTACCCAAAGTTCATGACCATAGGTGAGGGTTGGAACGTAGATTGACCGGTAAATCGAGAGCTTTGCCTTCTGGCTCAGCTCTCCTTTCACCAAGACAGATGAATACAACACCCGCATCACTACAGATGCAGCACCAATCCACCTGTCAATCTTGCGTTCCATCTTTCCCTCACTCGTGAACAAGACCCAGAGATACTTAAACTCCTCCACCTGGGGCAGGACCTCATCCCCGACCTGGAGAAGGCATTCTACTCTTTTCCAACTCAAGACCATGGTCTCGGATTTAGAGGAGCTGATTCTCATCCCAGCTGCTTCACACTCAGCTGTGAACCGCTGCACTGAAAGCTGGAGATCACGTTTTGATGAAGCCAACAGCACCACATCATCTGCAAAAAGCTAGAGACCCGATCCTCATGCTACCTAAACGGATCCCCTTAACACCTTGGTTGCACCTAGAAATCTTGTCCATAAAAGAACAAAATCTGTGACAAAGGGCAGCCTTGGCAGAGTCCAACTGACTGAGTCCTTGTTGTTTAATAAGTTCTTGGCGTTCATTTAATTTATAATCCTCAAATCCTGATAGATTTCTAACTAAGCTTATTTCTGCTTTTATCCACAGAAAAACCCATTAATCATCACTGGGAAGTGGACTCGCAGAGGATGAATAAAAGAAATGACTCACGTGGGCGATGCTGATACCACAGTAGATGGAGAAAGCTGTGGCCAGATCCTCATCAAAGCGGTTGAACCACGGCCCGTTCATTTTGTTCACCAATTCGGCCACACCGATCACCTCTACAACAGGGATTTAAAGAAAAATGGAACGAAAGATGAAAAGGATGTCAGAGGGTGGTATTAAAGGAGAAATCAGGAAAGTGTTTAGGAGGAGGCAGAGGTTCGGAATCAAACTCAGATTAATTTCACAGTGCGGCTGATCCTAATTACACATAAAAAGATGTGGATTTAAACCATTCATCTGAGCTGCAGCTTTCCTTATACAGATAAATGACTGTAAAGTTCCTGGCTGAGTCTTAAAAACCAAGCAGAGCTTTCTGAATTAAGTGAAGATGGACCAAAGTGCACTTTATGCACTTCACCATTTAGACACAAGGATGTGATGTAACCAGTCTTTGTGCTATTCTGAGAGCACCTGGGTGAAGATGTTGCTTCTCTTTCTGCAACAAAGGATCTGGTACTGCATGGGTTGTAGTTGACTGAAATATTAATAATTATTTAAATTTTAGCAGCACGAAACATAGAGCCAACTTCTCCTATTGCATACCTATAAACTAGAATTTAGTTGCTCTGACGGTCACAACTTAGATAATATAGAAAAATCTGTAGACCTAATCTCTTCATATTTAATATGTCTATTTCTAAGAACTCTGCCAAGAAAATCTGTCATTATTTCTAATCTCTCATTAGAACCAAGCCCCCACAATGCGGCTCAAAAATTGAGGCCAACCCGGAAGTACCAAAAATTGCAGTTCCACTCTCATCCGCTGGGGGCTGGTGTCAGAAGCGAGCAAATCCTCATTGACTCCCATGTTAAAAATACCAATTTCACAGCAGAAATAAACATGTTTACAGCCTGGTACCAAAACATGTTTTTTTGTTTAAATGATCTAGTTTACACTCATGACAACTCTGAGGGGGGTGAATTTTTTTTCTCACTATTCTGTTTAAGTGTATTAAAAGCCTAAAATTCTGTATAATTAATGAGCATCAGACCCACGTGACCACAGAGCTAGCTCCGTGGAAAGGCCTCAGTAGAGCCTCGGTCTTGCCTGGGAACTGTTCCGGGATTTTGAGTCTCTGTGTTTGTGTATTCTTTTTTGGATATTGTTTGCGCAGTTGTTGGACAAAATGGCTTGCTGTGGCATTAATTGCACTAATAGAGCATCCAAGGAGTCTCCACTTCATTTTTTTTGGTAAGTAAAATTACATTTATGTATTTTAGGTCACTGCCGAGCTGAGCTTAGATTTTAACATGTACTGTTTAACCATGAAATTTAAATGGAATAGGGTAAAACCCAGTGCATTTAACATAATGCTGCACTTTAGAAAATAGGTTGAAATATAACATGTTGGTGGAGCTGGGTTCCGACTATCGGCTTGTGGAGCTCTCGGGAGACCGATGTTTTCCACCCGGTTCTCCCCGCAGACCGGCGCATCTCTGTATGATCGCGGCTTCTGTCTGCTGCGTGGGCTGCCGGCTTTCAGCAGCTTTCGGGAGACCTCTGTGTTCCACCCGGTTTACCCAGCGGTCAGCCCGGCGTATCTCTGACTCAGAAGCTCTGGTGTTGTGCAGTTAACTACGGTTGTAGCTAGGTTGCTACCTCCATTAGCTTAGCTCCCACCTCCGCGTTAGCTTTGGGTTAGCTTCAGGTTAGCTTCAGGTTAGCTTGACCGGGTGTCGTCAGTTGATCCCAGCCTTACAGCCCCACCTCTCTTCCCTTTTGTGGAATTGTCTGGGCTTGACGGAACCTGTGACACGGTCAAAGTGGCGGTGGTGGCCACCTCCCATTTTGGCACAAAAACGTGTAATTGGAGTCTATGGAAACCCATTGTCCAATATTTATATGTCGATGATTAGAACAGATTACAGGCTCATGAACAAATATGGATAAGAAATACACATTTGTTTTTATATTTCAAGAATAAGTCATTTTAAACTCCAGGGTCATGACACTCTTCAGTTATGACTTTTACATTTTGGTTTACACACACCACATATTATAGGTTGTGTGTTTCATAAGGTTTTGTGACTTCTGCTCTTTGCAGGCACTAGAACATAACGTTTCTTCATCTATTAACCTGATTTAAAAAGTATTCCTTTCAGTAAGCTTAAAATTAGACTACTGTTGATGTAACAGCTATAATATAATGACCTGTTTTATTTCATTTTTTAATTATTAAACAATAAGCATTAATAATTAAATAAAATAGGCTTTTTCCATCTGTAGATCCTCCACCAACGGGCAGTAGACATGCATCGGACTAGATATGGCAGGTTAACAGTGAAAGTACTAATTCTACTATTTTATCTGATGCTTTAAGACCAGAAGGAGTTATTGGCTCGATCCCAATACTTGCACTGCGCCCTGCGGTCTTCAGCATGCCGTAAGGCTTTTAGTGCGTGGTACTCAAGAATGCAAATGATTACTGAATTGAGACAGAGCAAAGCATCATCAATCGCAACGCATGCCGGGAAGATGCTCGCTGTGATACTTAAAAAAACGTTATTAACAACTTTCAAACATTCAAACAATTATTTGAAATAATTTTCCATTTGTTGCTGCTTTGCCTAAAAGTTTTAGAGCATCAATGAATCATCCTAAAATTAACTACTGTCATTAGAAAATACATATGATCAGCAAAGGATTTTGAGCCTTTTGTCCCGCAGCAGTGGATTCTGGGTAATACCCTCGACCCAAGTCCGCATCGATACAGACTTGGGGGAACTGCGGATCAAGGGCGCAAAAAGGGCGTGATTGACTTCTGCACTTGAGAATGGGGACACCCTACGCACTCGCACCCCTGGTTGAGATTGCACAATCGAAGACTGCAAGTGTGGAAGTGAGTGTATTGGGATTGGGCCAATGGCTGAAAAAAAAAAACAGTCAAGTCGAATTTGAAGCAGGAACCTGGTGTTTTTTCTCAGAGGGTAAAAAAATGTATTACACCTTTAATCCCATCTTCTTATTACTGGGATTACGGCTGGAAGCAAGGCCTCTTGTTTGTTTTTACAATAATTCATGTTGTGCTCCTTATACATATATAGATGTGTGTGTGTGTGTATATATATATATATAAACATATACATATATATATATATTTATATAATAGAAATAAATGCAAAGGCTTCATGAGTGGATTTAATAACTCACTCCATTGCTGATTTACTTGAACAAAAAAACTTGGTAAAATTCTTTGTTACCGTTGTTTTCATCTTTGATGGGGAAGCAGAGGATGTTGCGTGTTTTGAAGCCGGTGCTGTCATCAACACCACGGTAGAAGAGAGGATGGGAATAGGCATCCTTAATGTTCAGAATCTGACCCGTGGTCGCCACGTGGCCTGCGATACCCTGGTCAGCTGGGATACGAAACTCATTCTGCATGTACACACACACACACACACGCGCACGCACACGCACGTACACACACACACACACACACACACACACACACACACACACACACACACACACACACACACACACACACACACACACACACACACTCAAAAATACTTACAAGTAAAATGTTTCTGTCTTTACTTATTAGTTGATGAAAGATATAAAAAGAAATGTGGCAACAAAACAAGGAGATACAGCTGAATCCTCCCAGCAGAGGTCTGGCTCTGTCACATGTCAGCTTTATAATACATGCATAAAATGCCCCAATTTTGTTGTTGATGTTGCAAATGCTCTGGATGTATTTGAGACAACTAGGCCAGCAGGGAGGTACAAGAAAAGCCTTTGGTAAGCAAAAAGCCATTATACAGTAAAATGTGCACCTACACACAGCTGACAAATGACAGAAAAAGCCAACATGAGGAGAACTAAGAAAGCACTGGACTGTCGTGTTTAACCAGAACAGCTTCATTGCACATTAGCGTTTAGACTGTAAAGCCCCATTCCCACCTGTACCGGGTCGGCCCGGGCCGGGTAGCGTAGGTTGTTTACATATCTGGGTGGCCTGGAATTTTCCCGGGCCAACCAAGGCTCATTCTCGGCCCTCTTCCCGAGGGGTACTGCTTCAGGCCGACCAGGGCCAACACACCCACTGCTGACAAGAAATTCACACCTTCCATTAGAGCAAGCCTCTGATTGGTGGGTAGAGTCAGCCCATTCACACCTTCCATTAGAGCAAGCCTCTGATTGGTGGGTAGAATCAGCCCACATGGGCTTAAGACAAGGATGTGTGGAAACAACCGGGCCAGACTGGGGCCGACTGGGGCTACCCGGCCCGGGCCGACCCGGTACAGATGGGAATGGGGCTTTAGTCCCTGGAGCTCCACTGGAGGTTAGATCATTACTCTTCCAAAAGAAAGCCTAATTTAGTGTTAAACTAGGTTCAAATCTAGTGTTTGTTTTGGTGATAATGTATTATTCACATTATTTTCATAATAGTCGCACATTCCAGTGGGCTCTCCTGCCTTATGAGTGAATGAACCATCCTGTCAGGATGTTTATTACAGGAAAGAAAGAAGCTGTCTCAGTTTACTCAGATTTACTGGCTCTCTAAGCTGATAGGAAGATGGAAACACTTCACTTATCAGACTCCTGTAAAGGTTAAAAGGAGACACCTTCTTCACTTGTAAGATTTCATGTGTCAGATAATAATAACAACTTGTAGATGTGATTCAGGTGGTAACCAGATTTAGGATTTTTCTGAGAATGGGGGCCACAAAAGGCATGTTTCCACTATTGGAACTTCAGGGTAATTTTACCAGAACTTTGCGGTATGTATATGTCTCTACTTCAAAGGACAAAAGCACCATTTTCAGGAACCAACGAAGAACCTGTACAGGGGTAGGCACTCAGAATAGCTAATCTGAGCTTTTGGTTAACTCACGCTGATCGGCTTTACCTCTGAAGGAAATTACATTGGCAGACATCTTTATAACAACCAGTAAAATTGGAGGAGTTGCGAGAAAATAAAAAGCATTCATTCTGCTTTAAAATTGCAGTTACTAAACTCCCAACACTGCAAACGCAGTGAAAATCCCCCAGTGGTGTAATTCATGAGGCACCATAAAAACAATGCTTTTTCTTGTCGTTGCAAGCAACATTTTACATCACACAGCAACTTAAACTATGCCAAACTTCAACAGAATAAAATTTTCCAGTTTTGGCGCTGATCAATGACATCACTCACTGCTGAAGCAGTTGCATCTTAGCTAAGTCCTGAAAAGGGCTGAATTTGTGTAGAATGGTAAATGGCCTGTGTTTGATATAGCACCTTCTAGTGTTCTACAACCTTCACAAGGTGCTTTACAGCACAAACTGTCATTTACCCATGCACACACACATTCATACGCTGGTGGTGATGGGCTACATTGTAGCTCCAGCTGCCCTGGGGCACACTGACAGAGGTGAGGCTGCCGTACACAAAGGCCACCTGTGCTTCCGACAACAATCAGAAGGTAAAGTGGGTGTCTTGTCCAATTACAGAACAACTGCAACAGTCAGGACTGGAATCTGCAACCCTTCAGTTGTGGGACGTGCACTTAAAGGCACACTTGGCAGGTTTGCTTGCTTTTAGCACTCCCTAGTGTTAGTTTAGTAGAGCCAAAAGGGAAACTTATCTCCTCGTTGAGCGTTTGTCTTTTTGACACCTTAATCTAACTGCTGAAATGTCTCCTCAGCCTTCATTAGTGTCTACAGGAGTGGTTCATCAGTAAATGAAGCTTGTCATCTGTTTTCATGATCTAAAACATGCAGGAAAGGTGCTGGAAGCAGACTGCAGCGCCAGGTATGTCAGCTCCATTTTTTTTCCCAAGTCAAACAGACTGGACCACCACTCTGAAGTTGCAATTGCAATATTCTGGCCACAGATGGCAGACGGGGTCTGAGTGACATTTCATTCACCCTGTAAAGGGTCATTTTAGCACATACTGGCTCAAGAAAATGATTTAAAAATATGAAAAAAAAGGCATAGTATTGCTTTAACTCCTGGTCAGTTTTCCCCTTCCCAGAAATTTCCCAGGACTCCGAATAGTGTAAACAGGGCCTATTATTTATATAGGGGCCAAGTAATAGTCCAACATATTTATACAAGATTTCATGTGAAATTCCTAATTGGCTCATTAGCACATCTAGTGTTTGGACTCTGACTTGCATCCATCTATAATCTGATCGTCACGTACAGATGTGTGACAGGACAGAGGTACTTTAGCAGGCCAATCAGATGGGTGCTGCAATCAGCTATCAGCTGGGATGAGCAGGTGCTAATGTAAACGTGTCGGTGCCCCTAGAGCCACCAATGGTTCTATCAAATAAATCTAACTTTGGATGCAAAACTGTTGATTTGAGCTCAACCTAAGTTTGAGGAAAATGCAAATCCTGACTGGATCTATGAGTGCAAAGGTATTTTTTACTCCATTTTCTTACATATGAGATACTAATTATTAATAATATCTGAATGATCTCTTTATAGCTTGTTGATGAGAATATAGTCTGTTACATTAGAAATGGAAAACATGATGCTTTTCTTCGTGAGTCTATGAGACAAGAAATAATAAAAAACAGGTTAATTTTCTTTACCTCTTCTTCACTAACCACACCACCATCAAACACCTTCGCCACTAACTCATGGCTCAGTCGATCCAGCAGGAACACAGAACAACTGGATGAGAAGAGATTGACAAAGAGGAGTAAAAACACAGAGCTAAACTGAGAACATTACAGGGTTTTTATATCATCATATCAGGTCATTTTGCAGCTTTTATTAAATCAGGCAAGTTGGTTAAAAGCAAATTGCTAAGACAATCTTTTAGAACAGAGTTAAATCCATAACCAAAACACAGTGACATGCACTGTCTTCCAGGCACATTAAAACCTTCTTGTTAGGATGAATCAGAGGGCTTACATCTCTGCACCACTGAGGTTCCTGGCCTCCACTATAATTTCCTGTAACAGCACTGACACATCATCTGAAAGATTCGGGGAGAAGGGAAGAGAAAAAGAGAGGAATTAAAAGGGAAAGCAGGGGAAATAATAGGAGTACATCGAAGCTCGGGTAACAGAAACAGAGATTACTACACGAGTATACGTGGATCAGCTGCACAAGCTGATAAGGTCTTTTGTAATCAAAGGTTGAGTCTGGAAAGTGGCAAATTTGCTCCACCACTGGATCAATTTTTGTGCCTGCAATCATGACAAATCAACACTGACATATTCTACTGTTGGTGCTGGTTGTTTCAGAAGAATGGAAGTGCCCCGGTGTAATTGTGGGATGTGGCAGAGCCATCATTTTTAATGCCTTTTTGATTTTACGATTATGATTCTGGCTGTCTCACCTTTACGGTCAGAGATGGCTCATTCAATTACGGGCACCATTTGTTTCAATAGGTGACCATTTTAATGTCTGCCATTAATGCGAATGCTCCCCTGGTGTCTGTTCCACAAAGATATCCAGACAAAGAGGGTCTCCGATGGACGGATTCAAGTAGAAAGAGAGGGGACTCACCCAAGTGTGTGAAGAGATTCTTGGCCACTTGTAGGAGCGCCTATGCAGAGAAACAGAGGACAAAAACAAGCCTCTTAAAAGGCAACTTTAGCTCCAGGTGCAATATTTATGTCTGCGTGAATGTGTGTGTGTGTGTGTGTGTGTGGCTACCTGGCATTCCACTTTTAGCTTCTGTTCTTTCTGAAAGGCCAAAGTGGACGTGAGGACTGTTGAAGTGTAGCAGAAACAGTGCTGGATTGTGTGCTCATCAATCTCTGTGTGTCTGTAAATCAAAACACACAAACATCAAGTGCTGAATCCAAACAATAAATAAAAAATAAAACTTAAAGAAAAGAACCAGAAGATTACTGAAAAAAAACAAATTTGTTCCAAATCTTCAGATAAAACCCAAGCAGAATTTATTTTTTATTTAAATGTCAAAATAATTTGTGATATTTTGATAATTAAACACCTTCAGGTTTTGTTTGTCTGAATATAAACTTTTTATGCGCTGATTGTGGTTTTGAGGGCCGATGCTGATTTCTGACCTGCTGATATCAATTTTGGTGCATCTCATAAAGCTATAATTGATGAAATAGAACTTTAATTTGATTAATTCAAAAATTGCCGCATTAAAAACACGTTATTGCTATCGTGAATTAGTGATGATGAGTTCACGCATATAACCACATATGTAATTCTTACGCATGTCATACTGAGGTATTTTTTAAGTGTATTCTGCTTAAAGAATTTCATGTAACCATAAATAAATTGGTTCTAGTAAAATTTGATTTGACCTTTTTGAGTTGATGAATATTTTTTCTTACACATAAAATTCTTTAATGTATGTATTCCAACAGAATGCGCCAAACTGAAATCAAACCGGACAATTTTGCTTAAGTACTGTGTTGTTTTTCAGCTAATTTAAATGAGATAATAAAGTAGACTTTTCCACATGTGATGATGGTAAATGGTAAATGGCCTGTATTTGATATAGCACCTTCTAGAGTTCTTGAAACCCCCCAAGGCGCTTTACAACACAATCAGTCATTCACCCATTCACACACACATTCACACACTGGTGGGGATGAGCTACAATGTAGCCACAGCTGCCCTGGAGCGCACAGACAGAGGAGAGGCTGCCGAGCACTGGCGCCACCGGTCCCTCCGACCACCACCAGCAGGCAACGTGGGTTAAGTGTCTTGCCCAAGGACACAACGACAGCGACAGACTGAGCGGGGCTCGAACCTGCAACCTTCCGATTACAGGACGAGCACTTAACTCCTGTGCACTCAGTACATTAAATAGAGAACATAAGCTGTTGTTGCAGGTAAAACTAAACAGAATGCTTTATTATCAGCTAATACGGGTATATAAAGTGACAAATATCACACTTTTACCTTTGTAATTTGCCAGAAAATTGCTTTGCTTTCCTTTTGCTGCAGGTACCAGATTTTACTGCTGCTTTAAAGCTAAACAAACAACTGAAACAATGACTTCAGTAATGCAGCTAGGTTCCTGCAGTTATCCGTCTTTGCCCATAGAGAGCAGTGGCACGTTACTGCGCTAACTGGACTTCAGAGCTTTCCTGAGTTCCAGCTTGGTCACACAGGAATCTTAATAAAAGAAAGACCGGAGCCAGCATGGTGGAAATCTTTATGACCGACACTCAGGAGAGTTTATAGTCACAACAACAGCCAGGCTGGAGAATAGTCTTCTGCAGTAACAGCCGGTTATTTGCAGTCCTGACACAAAATTGTATCCATCTCCACAGGTGGACTAGCAGCAAGTGGGAGTTCACATCTGAGGAACAGAAATTGGATACTAAAAGAGCGCCTATTATGTTACACACAGCGAACCGTGCTTATAATATGACAGGAAAGTGTGTGTGTGAGACACGTTTGGTGTTTTTTTTTAGATGCTGCAGCAGAGCCAGCTGCTTCTTTACAGAAAGCAATGTTTTAAAATTCTTCCACGTCTTGGAGAACAAGCATAACCATCGGCAGCTATGGCTTCCACGCTGATGTCTTCTCATTCGCCAAAAACAAAAAGGCACCTCTTTATTAGTGCTGGATCTGAGGTAGATTTGAGATGATGGCTTTTGTTTTTTACTTGATATCCAGCAGGTTTCCATTACTTCTGGTTCTTGTTCTCGATCCGCATTTGGCATGTCACAAGATCTGCTGACATTCATGATCAGCTTGTGCAGAAAGCGTGCAGCTTGCCCTGCGTTCGGGAACCTTTTGGCACCAAACTCTGCAGCAAACTGACAATGTCATCTATATGATGAAGTCTGCACTTGGAGCCAAAAACCCCCAGACTTAACATATTATATGCTCAGTGGAAACCATAATCCTGCTGCTGTTACCATGGTAATGAGATGCCCGCACAGAGAGAGAAATGATCGGACACGGTCCCTTCTCCTCCGTCTGAGAGTGCACACATATGTCTGCTGCATGTGTGACCAAACGTTACACAAAACTACTTCTCTGGATATTAACCCAACACACAAACGCAGGGACAAGCTGCCTGAGTGTCTTATTTTTTATATATATTTCTGTATTCAAGAGATAACAGCATTGCTCCTGGCAGCACAAACAGACACACAAATACACGCCAGAACGTGGCGCTGCCAGAACCAGGCAGCCAAGCCACCCGCTGCCATCAGACTCATGACCTGACTCTGGATCATTGCACTGCCATCATCATCACAGCCATCTGGTCTCACACACACACACACACACACACACACACACACACACACACACACACACACACACACACACACACACACACACACACACACACACACACACACACACACACACACACACACACACACACACACACACACGCATGCACACAGGGAGAAGATGATTGGAGTTGAAAAGCGCTGCTGTTCAGGAGTGCACTTTGAGTCTGAATGTTCGGTCAAACTCCTGACAGTTGGTGGGAAATACCACAGCTTTCACCGACCGAGGCGTCCGACAGCATGAGCACTTTTCATTATTTCTGTTTTGGTGAAACAAAGACACTTTGGAACAATTTAATTTGTTTCTAAAGATCACAGCTAAGAAAATGGGCTTGTGTTTAGGAACAGAACACCTGCAACTTGACTGAAACAGTTTAATTTAGTATTTTTTGCAATAAAACGCCAAATTGAAATGGTGACTGAACTCTTAATGATTTATATTCAACAAGGATTCACAGAAGAAGTGGCTTATGACTGATGAGTGAAACCATAAAACCAAAAGCCATTTTGCCTAGATCCTATTGTTATGTGCTCTCCCTCTAAAAAGGCGGTAAGCGTAGCAAACACGTAGAGTTTATTATGCTGACAGTCTGCATTAAACACGCCCATGATTTAGATGTAATGTATTGTCATACGACACCCAGCGAGGACATCTGGATCCTGGTAGTACACATTTCCAGTTTTAAGCTGGTTGAACAACTTTATTATGCAATATTAAAATTAATAAACTGCTTTACTGTCAACATTTTATTTTTTATTCTGATAAACTGTACTGATAAACACTGAGGGTCCAGCAGTAACCTCTGGGGTTTCTGTCCCTCCTGGAACATTTCTGACAAAAAGGACATGCACATTACTGTGAAAAGGTTTTAAAGCACGTCTTATTTCTTTATGGTTTCCTCTCAAGAACTCAGCCTTTCCTGTAATCTTTTAAAACGCTCCTAAATCAATAGTTCTTTAGACTCTCTGAAGGCCTCTCATCGCTTCTCTTTAAACTCATTTTCTGTCTAGATCTTGTGCCTGACATAGACAGAATATTGTTTAGTGTTTGTTTAAAGGAAATGAAAGAAGGTGAACAAGTGGAAGGAAAAAGAAGAACAGGCATGTCTACAAAAAAAAAGATTTCTGGTAGATCTGAAATTAAAAGTCAGTAAAGCTCTGAAAATGGTTCTTCATCTGATCGTCTACTGTTGAGGCTTACAAAGCCCGGCTTGATAACTGACGGTTTTGTGACTTTGTGACAGGTTTATAACAAAGACTGGATTTAAAGTTAGTTCTGTCATGTTCTGTGGCCCCCAGCCCCTTCCAGGTTTCCCTCCATGTTCCCTTCATATTTAGTTAGTCCCATCTCCTTTATTGTTATTAGACTTCCTCTTCTTTTGGTACTTGTCTCTTTAGTTTCCTGAGTTAAACATCTAGTGTTTCTTGTTTGTTCTGGTATTTCAATTGTCCTTTATTTAGTTTCGGCATTTATTTTCTTCCCAACCCTACAGTGTCTAGTTTCAGGTTTATTATTTGATGTATCTTTAGTTTTCTTAGACTTATCCCCCAGTCCTCGAGTTTGTGTTGTTCAGTGGTTTTTGTTCTTCAGTTGATCTAGTTTATTTACTTTTAGTCAATTCTTAGAATCATTTCCTTCACCCAGACTAGTTTCATCTTTATTCTTCTATAAATGTATATTATTTAGTTAGTCTCTCCCTCTAGTATACGGCGTTTCCTCCCCACCTAGTTAATAACCAGAGCCAAAGCTAAAAAAAAATCAGAAAGTTTTAAGTATTCATCAAGGCGACTTAAAATATAACAAACAATTCTGACTTTATATTATAATAAAACAACCAAGGATACATCATCTGGGACTGTGTGAAGGTCAGACTTCTGATTCTCAGGGAGGACCTGGCAAGGGAAATACACACTACTGACAAAGAGACTACTTCCTGAGAGTTCCCAGGAAATTGGTGTCTTTCTATCAATGCACAGATAGCAGGTTTGTAGTAGTAACGGCAAAAGAGCTCCATGGGTTCAAACAGGTTGCCCAGTTTGCTGTCTACCCCCTAAACATGAAGGACCGAATGGACACTGTTGTCTAGGGAGGAACACTCCCAGACCCATCACACCCTAGACAAAAACTGAATGAAGTCCCAGACTAACAGACCAAAAGACAGCTTCTATCCTTCAGACATCTCCATGCTGAAGGCTGCAAAGCTGGAAATCTGTTCATCTGGCTACCTGACTGGGGAGTGTCAGATGGAGATGGAGATGCTGTAGACCAGACATTCGCAGCTTCATCTGCTGTGATGAATCCCATCCTTTGTGTAGTGTGTTCATTCTGGTTTGGTCTGGTCATAGATAAAAAGTTCCTACAGTTCCAGCTCAATGAAAAACCCCTGGCAGCCTTTGCTCCTTGATTGGATAGGCATTTATAAGCTTTTTTATTTTAACTTAAACAAAATGTGAACAATGACAAATTCCAATATCAAAACAATTAAAATTTTCTATTTAAATCAACACCTCCTTTAAGATAGTTGTGTTTGCAGGCTGAATTAAATAAACCAGCGGCGTCATTGCAATGGTAGGCAGACCTGCCAAAAAAGGTCTACGCAAGCTGCTGCCCTGGTGGAGAATTGCTTTGCAACACTGGTACACTGACAGAGGAGTATTAAAGGAAAACATCTCTGTCAATACTTGTGTGTGTGTGTGTGTGTGTGTGTGTGTGTGTGTGTGTGTGTGTGTGTGTGTGTGTGTGTGTGTGTGTGTACAAACTTGCCAATAAAAAAATGTGAACTAGGCTTCAGAGTAGCTACTGCTTCTCCAGCAGCAGCTCTCTCTTGCCTGTGAGAGGTGGTCCTAATTTCCCTGCTTGTGATGTCACAAACGGGGACATTTAAAAAATATTTGTTTTAGGCATATCATTCTTAAAACCAAACACTTACAGAAAGTGGATGGATTTTTTCCCCTACATTTAGAGTGTTTATAGAGACAGTAAAGACCCACATGGCAGCACAAAAGGATGCAAAAGGTGGGTTTTGCACAGGGATTTCCCGATCAGGTTCTTTTTGCCCTCGAGTCCGAGTCATTTGATTTTGAGAATCTGCCGATACCGAGTCCCGATCCGATACTTTCGATACATTAAAAAAAATTAAAGAAAAGGAAGAAACAGTTCCAGAATGTTCCTTATTTTTATTTAATTACCTTTTTATTTTAATTTTTAACAATAGATCACTTCTGTGAGGTAGCTTGAACAATCAAGTAATAAATAACATCAATTCTTCACTTTTGGACTTTATTGCAAATATAAAAAGTCAAATATAAAAACAGATAGCACTTCAACTTAAAACACCTGGCAGGGGCCTATTTTGCCTCGGCCCCCAAAATGCTTAGAAATGTCCCTGGGCATGGGACGGAGTTTTGAAGATGATCTGCATCGTATCAACTATATAAATACTACATGCTGATAAATTATTGCTCTATACAGGTACAAACGTGTAGTGGAATAAATCTACCTAGATTTTATTTTTTTAAGAACTTTGTTTTGTTTTCTTGGTTTTTATTTTCCTATCTTCCTGCATCTCCCAGTCCTCCTGAAAAACTCCTGTCTGCTTCTTCTTTTTCACCTCACAAGTAACTTTTTAACTAGCAGATCAAATTGATCTATTGACCGCAAAAAAAAAAAAACGGAGTGTGCGCTGCACTGCCCGGCTGCGCCAGTGACGAGCACTGCAGCACGAGCACGTCCACACGTCATGCTCAAATACAGACAGAACTTACCAGAGAGAAAATGAACGGACACGAACGACTGTGTGTTAATTATATATTTTTTGGTGACGCCACAAACATAGAAAATGTTACTGTGTCCGTGTGCAGAACTCAGCTGGAGTTCATGAATAATCAGCGGTCTGCCTGCCGCTCGGCATCTCTGCTCAAAAGAATCCCCGCTACGCTGAGTCCATGTAAATAATATAATATAGGTAGAAACTGTGCTCCTTCTGGGTGTGTAAGTTAAAGGCATCACGGGGGCCTGACAACCTTTAAGGAGAACCAAGTTGCTCTCCTGTAATTTGAACCCAGTATCTGAGTCCGGATCAGGGCTTGGATCGGGAAGTAAAGCCCGAGTCCCCGATCGAGTCTGAAACCATGTGATCGGGGCCGATTTCCGATCATGTGATCGGATCGGCATCCCTAGTTTTGCATTCTAAGTCCCCTTTTAACCGTATGCTTATATCTGTTTTACGACCACACAAGTTAAGGGACTAGTGTAAGGCTTTTTAAAAATGTTTTACTTTTTCTTTCTTGAGTGCCTGTGTCATTTTGTACTGAGAGAACTGCACCATCGTTTCATCATAAAATGCTCCATTGCTGTGATGACAGTAACTGAATGTTGAATGAAAGGCTCTGGACACTCCTTTACTCTTTAATTATTCCGTTTGCATAGATAATCTTTTCTTAAAGCCATAAATCTACAATCAATTGTTTCACTTCAGATTTTTTTTTTCAATATTTACATTGCATTGCACCAGTTTTTACATTTATTTAAGCTAAATATTCTTTATATAGGCATGGTGTCAAAACAAAACAAGCTTTAGTATAGTCACTGACAGAATACAGCTTTGGGTAAAGCTCTCATTATCTCCTCTTGAACATTCTATCATGCTTTAGTCAATAAGCTACAGATTGCACTACAATCTGTAAAAGCTCTGTAGCTCATCTTATCTGATACTACATCAACAAGACTGTCACATAAATCTTTCAGCCTGTCGACAAAAGCAAAGAACGAAAAAAACGTAATCAAACTGCAGACACGAGTTTCTGCGTGTCATCAGAGCTGTAGTCGCAGTTGTGAGGTCAAAACAGGATTGCACTAAATGTTCCTTTGGAGAAAAGACTAATCTGTGTGAAATGGACACATATGCAAAAGGACCAAATTGACGTTTCTGACCTCTGCCCTCCCTGCTTGTTGAAGGAGCATGCGAGGGCCACCACGTGACCGGTGGCCCTGCTGACCACAGGGACACAGAGCATGGAGGAGATCTCGCAGCCCAACATGCTGGACAGCTGCCGCCGCTCCTCCTGCCACACAATCAAAGACAGACAGATTACAAGAGAGGCAGTCAGATAGACACCGATACAAATAAAGAGATTGAATCTTACAGCACTGATGTCCTGAAGAGATATTGACTTTTTCTTCTCAACAACCTGACCAAAGCGTCCAAACATCAGCTGAACAGTGGAGAGAGAGAGAAAAAAGAAACACAAGGTCACAAAGGCAACACATTTGGGGAGAAAGAAAAGCAGACACATTCAATTACTTCCTGGAGATTCTGTTAGGAGCAAAATTAAAGAAAAAAGCTGTTTTATTCTCAGTGAAGCTTATTTTCTTCATTATTAGACGACACAAAGAGTCCATGTTATGGCTTTTCTTTGTGTGTGTGTGTGTGTGTGTGTGTGTGTGCTCGTAGCTCCCCCATATACACTATTATCAAGAATTCACACGTCTAGCCAGACTATTCACTCTGTAATGAAGTGCGTGTTAAAAATGCTACATCTGCACTACAAACATGGACACGAGACCCAGAGCAACCTCAAGGGATGTGATTACTTCTCTGGCCTCACATTTCTTAATTACAGCCCCTTCTGAGGATTAGAGACGTCTGCATGTGGGGGCTTTATTCTTTCATGTCAGTCAACACATGCAGCATTACCACACTAGTATTAGAAGTCAGCTTATTATTAAGAACAGCAAATGGATCCGAATCTCTCTGCTGGCTGAACAGTAAGGAGATCTTAGGAAAAAACGAGCATTTATAAAACAGATCAATGACTGACTAAACAAGAATGTGATCAAACAAAAAGGTGAAGTATTAAAAATAATTTTACAGGAAACATTAAAGATAAACACTAGTTGTTTTTTTATGTCTCACCGGAAAGCTGATCTCCTCTTCCAGGACTTTGTCTCCAACAACCTAAATGTCAATTAGGTAAAAAATCACACTAAAATATGAAAATGAGACTGAGAATGATACCCTATGTGTGTGTGTGTTTGTATGTGTGTGTGTGTACCTGGCAGAAAAGCTGGTGGTTGTCCTCCGACACCAGCAGCAAACAACAACACTGTGATTTGGTTTGTGTCTGCAGCTGCCGAGAAACAAAAACAAAACATCAGCCTTGATACACGATCATAAAACATGACCTCAACCGATCCAGGTACTTTCTTACGGCAGAGACTGATTGAAATGCAGCTGAGACGTGCAGATCAAATCGGAAATCAACCAGCAGTGAAAATAACTGGAGCTCGGTGGGTTGAGGATTGCTGTGTTGCACCGCTGAAGTGAGATTTAAGTCGGATTTCCTTCAAAGTAAGCTTTCAGCTTTCCAAAAACAAATTGTGACACTGTGTGGCTTTATTTTATTATATCAAGCTGCCTTAATATGCAAACAATAACTTAAATAGCCACCAATCCTCATAAAAAGTCTACATTAAACAGGAATTGCATGAATGTTAAAGATCCTGGTGTAAAATCAGCACAAGATTAGGGAAAAACAAGCAGAATGTTTCTGTGAAGCACGAGTGCTCTCAGTCATCCTGAAGCCGTTTCACCTGCAGAGTTTCAACCAGATTCCTGCTGCTCTGTAGGATGAGAAACACTTCATTCACATTCACAAATACACTCTGAGGTGTAAACACACGTTTTACAAGCACACACACACACACACACACACACACACACACACACACACACACACACACACACACACACACACACACACACACACACACACACACACACACACACACACACACTGCTGATCATCACAACACAACGTTCTTCCCTATAATCTTCCCATCTGGATGGAGAACAAGTGAACAAGAATAAACAGCATTCGCTGCCAACACACTCACCCCCGTGTCACATAAACAAGTCCAGGGAAACACACGCTTACACAAAAACACACACACATAAGACACGTTAAGGCACCTACAAACAATAACAAGCCCCGCCACCTCCTTTTTCTCCAAATGCAGTTAATCCTATAATAACTGCTCAAAGCTTTTCCCACATAACTGATAATTCTTCAGGAACATCAATCCCGGCTCCTCTTCCCTTCCTCCCTCACCTCACCCCATGTTTACAGCGGGACAAACAAAAAGGCGTATATAACAACAGTTTTAAACAGTTTGTATTTAAATGGGTCATCCTAAAATTTCTGTAACCAGACAAATGTCTGCAGACTTTATATTTAAAAGTTGCCAAACTACCATATAGTTACTGTACTCCTAAAAATACATGCACTTCCGTTTGTCATTACTGTAACATTTTAGCTTTTTATTTCATTTGTAGGCAAAAAGCATACAACAGTATGTTAGAGAGGCCAAAAATGAAATTTCTAATTCAAATCTCCAAAAAAAAAAAAAAAAAAAAAAAACAGATTTTCCTGACTTAAAAATAACTTTTCAAGCCTAAATTGTTTTAGATTCCTCCCGTAATCTGCTGATGCCACGAAGCTGTACAGACTTGTTACACGCAAGGTTGAGGATCCCCTGAGGGAATCTGCCACCTTTTCAGGTTTTAAGAGTTTGAGTTTATTGAAAATGTATGTAGCTGGAGCGGGTTTAGTCTTTCCTGAAAATGACATCACATGCAGGATTTGTTATGTAAATCTATTGCTCACAATCTGTAAAACTAACTGAGTTGTTTGTATTTTAGTGTTTGTTAATGTCAATAAGCTGTGGCGGCCATCTTGACTGCAGATCTACTAATGAAAACTTTCCCATTTCTAACAATTTTCATTCAATCTTGATTACCATTTGATTTGATGGCAGGTATTTTATATTAAAGACATACATTTCATGTTTTCCCATCTGCACTCGTCTCATTCCTGAATAAACAATGAAAGGATGAGCCACACATGTTTTAAAAGTCACATACATCACCAAATAGAGCTTCATCTATTATAAGACTTCACTTTAATTGTACAAACACCTGAAAAATCAAAGAAAAAATATTTTTAAATTGTTCTTAACAAGCTTAAAACGATTGTTTCCTTTGCATAATTAGACAATATATCTATATAATTTCCATTTGTTAATCTGTTTTGGATCAAAAGAACACATATTTGTGATTTTCAGACTCAAACTGCGACCCTCTGATGCAGCATAACCTTTAAATCTCCTATCTGGATTTATCCGTTTCTTTCCATATTTGCCTGTCTGTGAATAATTCCATATATTGGAGGAGTCTCTGCTCCCGCCGTAGCTCCCTCCCAACTCCTGCACAATCTTTTCCTCTTATCTCTCTTTCACACAGTCGGTCTCACTGTTTATCTGAAGGGCTGTTGCTCTGTGGGGAGATTGATGAAGCAACGGTGTGATAAAAATAAACAAAAACTATTAAAAAAAGACAGGATGAGGGTGGAGGAAGCCACCATTGAGGATGATTTGCATAAACCAGCCGTGTGTTTGTGTTTGTGCGCATGTGTGTGCGTGATGGTGATCTCAGTCACTTACATAATTGATGACTTTGAGCTGGAGAGAAGCCGCATCAAGGTCGTAGAGCTCACCTAAAAGGGGGAGGAGAAACAAAAAGAAAGAAAGTGACGAGAGGAAAAAATACACAGAGGAGAAAAGTGTAGAATGACTTTGGGGAGGAATGCAGATCAGGCAAGCAAGTAGACAGAAAGCAATCCAGAGAGGGATGCACTCAGACAGCGAGGTCAGGGAAGGGTGAACAGGAGCCAGTTAACAGAGGGGTGATAACAAAAAGGAGATAAGGGACGGGAAGCAGCCTGGACTGCAGAAGGAGGCGGTTAGAGGACGCTGGCAGAGGGAGAACTGAGAAGAACTCATATTTGTTGACAATTACTAGAAAGTAAACAACACTGATGCAGTTGTGCAGGAGCGGCATGAGCAAGTCCATTATGCATGACACTTTAGTGTGTTTGGGCAAAGCTTTCTGCTTTTAAATGGTCGCTGTCTGAGACACAGTATGACGCTGACATTCTGCATCTGCATGCTCTGAGCTTTTCATCCACACGAGCTCAGTTTAATAACGCAGCTCAACCTCTCAGTGTGACACTATGCATGAGTTCTCTGTTTGTGTATAAAAGGCATGGGAAATATAAAATGCATATGTTAGAGAGGAAGGAGAAGACAGGATTTAATGCATAAATGTGTGCTAGTAATAATTTGTGTGTATGTTACCGCAGAGCTGAAGAATGTTGCGGTCCAGCTCACAGTAGTCCTGCTCTGAGACATTGAGGTGCAGCAGAGCATTGTGGGATTGCAGTGGAGACGGACTGAGAGGAGGAGGCCTCTGATAGGATGCCTGTATAGTCTGGAAGCGTATGCACGCCACAGAGGCCTACGATTTTCAGCAAAAAAACACACACACACGCACGCACGCACGCACACACACACACACACACACATACAGATGGGCACTAATGTCAGGTTAGAAGCATTTCTAACAAAAACAGAAAATTTTGATGACATTTCATTAATTATCATCCAGAACATCCTCCAGTCTTTGACAGGATTTTCAACTGAGCATGTGACTTTTTTAAAGGAACACTATTTTTATCAACAGGATTTAGAAAAACGTTTGTTACTATAATAAAAGCCAAAATATACATATGCAAAGTAAAAGATTTCTGCTGCATTCAGGGTACCTCTCAAGATGAAACTCAAAAATGTTTGTTATAATTTATGTGTGTGTGAATTAATCTACGTAGGAGAGGAAGAGCTGCTGGTTTTGCAAACCCTGTTTTATAGTAGCAGGTTGTAGCAACAAAACAGATCTCTACTGGTCCACGGTTTATCTACAAGCTATAATCAGCATGTGCTCAGTAAGAAAAGTAGCTATTGCCTGTCCTAAAGGTAGCTGCAAGTCACTATTGAGCTCCGGGAGTTGACGTCACTTCTCCCGGCATGCAACAGTCCAAATCGAAACGGCGCCATATTGGCATGCAGAAGCCGGCAGTTGGACTATTTGTTATTGTCAGAAAACTCAATCAGACAGGAAATATGGTACATTCCTGTTGTGCCCCAGGATGCAGAACAGATGCGGACGACATGAGGAATGAGCCATCTACAGGATTCCCCAAGATCCGGAGCGCCGCAAACATTGGATCATTGTAATAAAACGCGCTAGTGACCGGGCTAAAATGAAGCTGTGGGATCCCGAGAGTAAAGGTTTTCACTTATGCAGCGACCTCTTCATATCAGGTACTTAAACCAACGTTTCCTCAACTGTGTATGGTATTTATTTTAAATGCTTTTATTACGATTCTTAGTGGGCTTCCTAAACTTATTTTGGCGTGGCTTTTTCTGTCTTATTACTCATAGCAACAAGTAAACAAAACCTTGCCTCGTGAGTTCTGCGTGCTGCCGTTTACGTGTTTTATGATCACAGCAATTAACCGGCTAAGCTGTATTTAATTTTTAAGCAATGGTTGATCAATTGTCAGATCACACATAAAAAGCACTTTGGCTTGCTATTATCTGTCTCACCAAGACAGATCTCAGACAGATCCTGAGACACTCTTGCCTGACATATTTATTTTATTCTTGGAAAAAAAATCAAACTTTGTCCATCCATCCATCCATCCATTTTCATCCGCTTATCTGGAGTCGGGTTGCGGGGGCAGTAGTGTCAAGAGGCCCAGACTTCACTCTCCCCAGCCACTTGGGCCATCTCCTCCAGGGGAATCCCAAGGGTTTTCCCGGCTAGGTCTGGTAAGAAGTCCGCTCTGACAGCTTCTGGCATTTTTAAAAAGTATCCCAGGGGCACGGTAAGGGTCATAGATGTTTAGTCTATTTAATTTCTGACTATATAAAACGATTTCTTCAGTTTTAAAGTGTGAAGTAAACTCAGACGAAGTAAAATCCAAGCCGATCCCGCTAATTTTGTTTACATTTGTTGCCTGCCAACATGGCGTCTACTCTCTGAGAGTCACGTGACGTCCGGAGCTCTATATACCACTGCGGTGGTGTTGTTTGTGAGTTGCACTACCACTCCACTCCAGTGGAGGCGAGAGTGGACCAATGAGGTGAAGTAAGTTTATACATGCTAGAAGCCTCAAGTTAAGAATTAAACCAAAGTTAAAGTGATGGTTTGTATTTTCCCTGGTGATGGGGTCAGTACATATCTAAATCGTTGCAAGCAAGTGGTATTTTTGTGTTTGAGTAAGACCTTACCAATGGAAGGCCATTAGGGTCAAAATTCCCTGGGAGCACAGTTTTTGAACGAATACCTCATCAGATCATTCAACCTCCAGCAAAATGACAAGCACACAAGAATCCCTTTCATCACAGGCAATGAGCGAAGAGGTAAATGTGTAAAACAACATTTATGAATGGCAAATGTTTTGTAACCGCTTGTTATAATTCATTTTCAACAACATTTCCATGGGTATTTCCAGAGATTCAAGGCAAAAACTGCACATTGTCACTTTAAACAAAATTCCATGAGTGGACCTTCACCATTGCTTACTTTGAATAATTGTCTATGCATAAGCACCTGCAATGGACACTGTAGGAGAGTGGATTAATGTCAGAGGTGAAAATCACCAGAAATGTGATTAGAACTACAAACAAAATCACATAGGTAGATTGATGTTTTTATGTTCTTTATGCTGACTGTACATTAGGAGCTTCATGTAGATATGATTCATTTGCAGCCTGGATGTGGAGGTGTAAACATCTTCTGCTCTGACTGCAGCTGTGAGGGAGACTGCTGCAGGAGGACTGGGCTGCCTGTGAGTGCTTTGGGACAGGGATTGGGCCAACAGTAGCAAACTACACTAAACTAGAGACCAGTCTGTAAAAGTCTCTCCATACAGCAGAATAAGCTGCTAGTTTGATGGTAGTTGCTTTTATGAAAAAGAGGTGCTAGAGGGGTCTGAAAACAACAACAGGGCTAAGTCGTCAGTGCTACTTTGCAGCCCAGCTAGACACAACAGGGAGCTTTAAAAGGATAGCAGTTTAAAACTCCCATGGGCCATTGCTTTAAATGCAAGGAAATGACTCGTGGGACTGTTTGTGATCCATTTATTCCTGTAATGTGGCAGCAGTTTAAGTAGGCAATTATTGTCGAGTGTAAGAATGTTTTAATGCTTACAGTCAATTCTGACCATGATAAGAGTTTAATCAGTGGTTTGAGTCAATGATAATCCTATTAAGCTGTGTTTTATTGAGCTTTTATATAGAATTGACCCTTGTGGGTTCAATCCCCCAAGCAAGGTACCGCAGATTTGACTTTTTATCAAGTCTGCTGTTGAAACAGAAAAAGGGCTTACATGTTTCTCCAGAACATTCAGATGTAGTTCATCATTATCTGATAGTGGGGCACAGGCGACCTGCAACACACACACACACACACACACACACACACACACACACACACACACACACACACACACACACACACACACACACACACACGCACACACAGCATGTGAAAACTGAGTTGCACGTGGTTTTTAACTTAATAAGAAACAAACTGAACTTCAGAGTAAAGAGGGACAGAAGGACATTATCATAGGTGCTTGATACTTCCCTTTGACTACTTTCCAATAAAACATTTTTATGCAGATTCTCACCAATACGACAGCGAGGACCTTCTTCTGATCATGATCCGAGATAGGAATTACAAGAGCTGCAAGAAAGAAAAAAAGAAAGGGGAAAAAAAGACAGAAGCACATAATTAATTTTTCTAATCTTTTTATCAACCTTTACATTTTTCCCTATGTCCTTGAGAAGATCTTTATCAGTTATTTTCTTTTTCTTCTATCTTCTAATACTAATAAAAACATCAAAAGAAACAAAAGAAAAACATTTATATAACACCCTTGATTAGGAAAGACTATTACAGTTGAGTAGAATATTAACAGCAACAAAAAATCAAATGATACAACTGAAGAGTGTTGCTGCATGTGAACTGGATAATAAACCATTACAATTCCATAGCTACGTGTTCATTGCTATGCATTTACCCCAGAGTGAAAAGTGGTTATGCATTATTTATTTTATGTTGTCTGCATGTTCCGCAGGTTATTGTCTTTTGCTGCAGCTAAATTTAAAAGATGTTCATTTGAATAGTAACGAGGAGTCTGCTCGTTTTGATCTTACGTTTTTTTTCTCATCACAACCTTCCATTTATTTTTTTTTTGGGTCTCTTTGCCAACATTGTTGCCCACACAGCTCCATACCTCTCTCAGTGCAATCATCATCTCTTGTTCACTGCTCCTCTCTCTATCATTTGTTTTTCTACTCCCACACTCTCCATGCTTCTCTTTGTCCTCACACATCCTCAAAGAAATAAACACACTCAGATATCCGTTCGTTTGTCCATCCACCTGCAGCATTCAGGCCCATGTTCGACCCTTCATAAAACACACAGCCGTACCTCTTCTGTGTGCCGGTAGTGGTGCTGCAAGGCAGATTCTGTATTTCTCCGGCAGTTCAGATGGAGGAAGGCCAGCGCACTCGCATCGCTTTAGCTGCTCCGCAATACTCCTACAAAAGACACAAGAAGAGTCTGACTAAGGCTGGAGTGAGACAATAAGAAACATTATATTAGTCTGAAAAAAATCACACCTGGTCACACACTTAAAAGAGAAAGTGGAGGTTTGGAAAATGGAAAAACAATTGGCTAAATTAAAAATCCAGATGTGCAACACTCAATGATAAAAAACCAAAACACCACCGAGTAGGACTATTATCCATTGTCAACTGATTAGAATTCAATGCAGCCAGTTATGTGTGTGTGTGTGTGTGTGTGTGTGTGTGTGTGTGAGAGCGAGAAAGAAAGAGAAAGAGAGAGATACAGCTAGTGTGAAATCTGGTGTGATTATGGAAAAGGTGCATTTTATATTTCAGACAGAGGGGGGAGTTTTTATGCTAAAATATGAGACAAAGATAATTAGTTCTGGACTAGCACTGACACGTGAGTGAAACATATCCAGAGTTGCATGAAAATGGAAATGAAAAGTGTTAGGTATTTTATATGCGCCACCTGAAATAACACACCTTAGACAATTAGAAACAGAGGGGAGGGAGAGAAGGCCCAAACCCCCTCCGGAGTTTTCCATCGTCTCTCTCCCATATTACCTCTCCTCTATTACCTTAAAGAAAGTCAAAGCACATACAGATAATTTGGCAAATTGTAGCACACCTTAAAATACGTTACAAAGCTTCCTTTGCAACGGGTGAGGGAAAGGCACAGAGACACACTGAAGTCAGAAGCCATGTTTCCTCTCACAAAGAGCCGAAGCTTGTGGAGAGCTTTTTATTTGAACATACACACCCACAAATAGCGTGAAACCCCTGTCTGACCAGTTTGCTTCAACTAATGGAAAAACACCTCGAGCCGAAAGGAGTTTTCTGAAAACACCCAAACATAAAAACAAGTAACTAGGTTAGGGTTTTTCCTAACACATTTAAGCAGCAAGGGTGAGTGAACTCTGCTTGATAGGTTTTTCCTAACAAATCCCTGTTTAAGGGTGAGGTAACTCTTCACATAGACAAAGGAAAAGATTTCACAACAAAGATGAACAATTAAAAAATACCTATCAAAAAGCCAAAAGAAACAAAGTAGTTTCACTCCAGCAGCACATGGGTTAATTCAAAATATTTGTGCCTGACCTTATAATCAGCTTTTGGTGCAACACACACACACACACACACACACACACACACACACACACACACACACACACACACACACACACACACACACACACACACACACACACACACACACACTTTATTACATGCATATTGAGTCTAAAATACCTCCCAAAAGCATTGCAACAAAATCTCTGAATGGTGCATTGATTTTAAAGTGTCCATTCATTTCAGCTCATTGACAAACTGTCCACTTCAATCATAAAACATTCTATTGTGGCAAAAACATTTTACCTTTGTGCAATGTATTTGTTCTAAGTTGCTCTCCAGCACATTCATGAGGCTTTTTCAGACTACAAAGAGCAACCGCTTCGTGCCATGAAAAAAATGCTGCCCCAGGCAGCCGCCTAGTCTGCCCGTGCCTAAAACTGCTACTGTTGGTGTCAATAAGGGCAGCAAAGAAGCCATTTCTCATTATCAGGGACAAACTGACATTTCAAAGTCAAAGTCAAAGTCAAAGTCATTTATTGTCATTTCTACCACATGTGCAGGACATACAGAGAAACGAAATTGAGTTTCAGTGCACACAATTCAAAGATCAGACATACAATGTCATTTAGCTGAAGGATGAGGGACTGGATAGTTGAGGACTAGGGGAGTTTAATTTTATGTGATGAATCCTCTTTTCCACTGTTTGGGGCATCTGCAAAAAGGGTCCAGAGAAGAAAGATGGAAGCAACTATCAGCCCTGTGTCCTGTCAACTTTAAAGCATCCCGATACCATTCATGTTTGTAGTTGCTTTTCAGTCAAGGGGGTTGGCTGACACACAGTTCAGCCTAAAACCAGATATGAATAAAAAATGGGACCTGAACATTTTCCCAGAGGAACTCCTCCCAACCACCAATGAACTGTTTGGTGATGAACAATCTTTACAGCAAAATAGGAGACATTAATTCCATTGACAAACTGTCATCAATCCTCCAGAGACAAGTGGAGAAACAAAAACACAAATTCTGACAAACTCCAAACTTTGATCAAAGAGTAATGAGATTCCAGCAGACAGGATCTGGCCCATAAGTTGACAAACATGCCAATACGTATATAAATGTATTGCAACTGTTAATACAGATCTTTAAAATGTATAAAATACATGCAATTACACTTTAGTATAACAAAAGAACATCTTAAAATGCTCTAAAAACACAGAACTAACTTTGAGCAAAATGTTGGAGATTTTAATGCATTACTGTCTTAAATGTTCCTTTTTAAGTAATCATATGTTAATCTTATGATTGTGAAGTAAGCCACAGGGCTTTCTCCTCTTCTCTCTGGCTATGGTATGCTGCCTGATAAGCATGGGGGTTGGGAATGCTCTGCTTGGCAACAGGAAAGCTAGCAGGCTGAATGAGTCACCCCTGTAACTTGAGACTTCCTTTTTAGAAGTTCCCACCTTAGATAGAAGCAACAGTGTTATTGGTTAAGTGTGGGCAGTGATGGATTGTTCTTTGTCCTTGGTTGCTTGTGTTTCAATAAAACCAGCTGGAGAGAGAGAACGTGCCAGAGAGTTGATTGAAACAGGGCCTAAACAGGTTCTGAGCTCGTCTTTCTCTCCGCTGCCTCTCTCGCAGCGTAAAAACCTACTGACTTCTCTCCTGTGTGGTTCATTTCAGGATTAGAAAATACCCAACATTTTGGTGCTGTGACTTGGCGTAGAGGGGCGGCTGAGGGATGTCGTCGAAGTGCTGCGTTAGCACCGACTTTAAAGTCCCGGGGCTGCGATTGTCCCAAGGGCCAGCTGCTTCGACGCTGTCTCCCAGTGTGTCCGTTCCTACGTATGGGTTGGTTTGATCCTCCCTCCTGGGGGGAGGATCAGTAAGTACAATTTTCCTTTTACACCTAATCGAAGTGAGCCAGTGATTGGTCAGCTACTCAGTTAAACGGTTACAGTCCGTTAACTAAAAGTCTGGGGGCCTGTTGTTACACTCCGGTGAGGCCTGAGGTGGCGTCCCAGCTCACGAAGGGCCCGTGGTTGATCTCCGGTGAAGCCGGGTGTCGTCCCAGTTCACGGTTGATCTCCGGTGGGGTCTGGGTGGCGTCCCGCCCGCCTGTGAGGTCTATGATGGCGTTCCGCTCACGAGGTTAAACGAGGAGTAGACGGGGAAAAAGTGACGTTGTTCACTACGGAAAAAAGCTGACCAAAAACTCTCACTTTAGGTTGTGAATAATCACAGGTAAATAGGAAAAACGCAGAAGTTAAAATAAACAGCTAAAATAAAGTGTTTACTCCTAAATAAATTGAAATAAACGGCTAAAATACAGAGTTTACTCCTGAAGAAGTCTAAAAAAGTGTGTGTCTGTGAGAGGGAGAGTGTTGATTTACGACCCATGTGGTGTCAGGGTATTTCTGGGTGGATGTGAAATCGGGAGGAGAAAGTGTTGTTCAGGCGGTAGGGGAGGTGTGTTAGGTCCTGCCTGCATGTTTCCATTCACATGCTCATAACCAGATACCTCACTTTAGTTGCTCTTACATGAGACTTTGTTTTAAACACATTGTGGATAAATTGGGATGTTTTTCACACTTGCCAATGATTTACTAACACAACTTGTTGCATATGCCTATTCCTGTTTTATGTTGGTGTTTGTTATTCTTCTCTCAACCCAAAGCTGAGTGATTAGGCAGACTAAAAGTGTACACACTTGCTTCAGTCAGCTTGTTTACACCTGGTGTTCAGTCTGAAATCTAGACCAACCATAGTTAAAGATTTAGCTCTGCAGGTCGTTCTTGCTAAGAATGTTTTAAAGAAAGGAATTTTCTTTTCTATTTCAGGGGTTCAACATGTTTTGTGTGTTCAAAGCATACTTTTAATGAATACTGCTTTGTCCTTAGTGTTGTTTTGTTTTGATTAGTTGGTTTAAATCGTGAGATAAGTTTCATAAGACGTTACATGAACATGTGTTCTTTATTTTAAATCAAAACAAACCTTGGTGAAGTGTTTTGGATTGACAAATGTCTCTGGATGTTTTTGGGTAATTCATTTTTTTTATTTGTCTTCAGCATGAATGTGGAACTCCAAAGGTACTGTGTTTGACGATTCAGGGCTATTAATGATTTGTGGGAAACCAATCCTCCCAAAATCGTTCAAAGTCGTTGTCCATGACGACACATGACGAATAACGTGTCGTCAGGGGGGAAGGAAGAATACACATGTTACAGCAGCATTTTAGAAGAATTTTACAACGTACAATTTATAAAATGCATTTTACAACATACGATTTATAAAATTGCCTTAAAAATCAGGGCAATATGTGCCATAAACGAGGAAAAATTCCCACTATCTGCTGGTTTTGTTGAAAGAAACAATGGCATAATAAAAAGCTGACTGAGAAAATGTATGGAAGAAACAACAAAGGCCTGGCTTGAATGTTTAGATCTAGTCAAACTCTATATGGGCATAACATCAACAAATAAAGGGTTATCTCTGTTTGAAATCATTTATGGCAAACCTTATTGACTTCCTTTTTGCTAACCAGACATCAATTTAGCTTAGGAAGAACTCACATTAGCAGATTACATGAAAAAAGTGTTGCATACTAGACAAGTTTTGGGAGGAAATGATCTGCTCTGCTTTACAGGAACAGCAACAGCTTATTAAACCTGGGGACTGGGTGTTCATAAAAGCAATCAAAAGAAAAATGGGACAAGTCCTAAGTACTGCAGTAAAGATTGCTGAGCGCCCTTCTTGGATTCATCTGTCACGTTGTAAGGTACAGAAGGAACTTGATTAACAGGTGACATCAATGACATGGGATTTTTCAAAATGACATGACCATGGCTGACCTGCTGTGGTTCCTGGTGGTGGTGTACACTCTGCTTCTGGTCCTAGAGAGC